TGTATAAACAACATATGTAAGAACATTATAATAATAAATCAATAAATTAATGTTATATAAAACAAAAAGGGTTATATATAGAATTTATTAAAATCTGAACATTTTAAGAAACTGTCTAATGGTAAAAAAAAAAAAAGAAGCAAAACAACAAAAAACTTTTCCATCCTTGTTTTTAGTATTTTTTAAATCTGCAGCTTTTTGTGTTTTACTCGTATCTTTTGACCGGATGTGATTCATTTCCTGAGTGTCCCAGTGTCTACTCAGTGAAGTGTGATTTAATGCTTATTTAATCTGACCTTTATAAGGCAAGGCGTAGAACAATTCCAAAACTCTATCTGTTTAAGTATAATTCCCTTTTTCACAAAGTTTCTTCACACATCTATATTTCCATTTCCATCATTTTGAAATAAATTTCTATTCAGTTTAATCGTTGGCACCTTTTGTAATAGTCTGTAGAAAAATCATTTTCTTCTTGTTTTTTAAGAAAATTTTGCACTTTGAAAGCTTTAGTCCCTTCTTAGAGCCAACATACAGACTACAGAAGTGTTATTTCGCCTTCTTTCTGAACTGTAATAATGTGCTATAAAACTGTTGAGCGTCCGTTGTAACTGGTAGGTCCCTGGGGCCCAAGAAGGAGCCATATAATGGCCCCCAGGTAAACAGATTAGTTTAAATTCATAAATTCCAATCATAATATTTGACATATTAAAAGAATGTCACTTGGACATGAGGGGGTAAAATATAAAAATTAAAATGTATTTAAAGAAACTTAGGTAAAAGTTTTACCATAGCGTAAAAGATAAAATATTTTATCTTTGTGTTTATGTAATATTTAATCCCCCCCAACACACACACACACACACACACCACCACCACCACCACCTCCACCTTCAATGGGAGCTATTATATCAGCGATGTAAAAAGAAATATATGAATATATGATGCCGATTTGCTTCGGAAAGCCCATAAAATATACTGATTGTTCTGTAATTATTGTTTCTCAAACCCCCATAAATGTAGAAGTCATCAAAAAACACTTAAAAATTAGATTTGGGTTCTTTTTCACTTATATGGTCAACGATTTACGCACTTAAGTTTGGCTTTACAGATGTTTGCTGGGCTAAAATCACTTAAACCGAATCGTTTGTTCTTTTTAATAGAAATAAAAGCATAAAAGTTTACACTCTGGGTTGAATTTTACTGACTTGTAGTTCCTCTATTACAGCTGGCGATGCCTCCGACTGAAAAAAAAAAAAAGAAAAGAAGAGGGATGTGTGCGGGGTTGTTGGGGGGGAGACCATCTCTCTCCCTCTAAAACAAAGACGCTTTGTCATAAAATGGGTTATTTTCCCAAAAGGAGTCAAGGGGCGGCATATGTGGTCTTAACGGGTCAGAGGTCAAACATCCATGAAACACAAGGTCGCTGAAGCCGCACAACCAACCTTCCAGCGTGTCAACATATTGATACTGTCGCTGTAACAGAGAGGAGAACCGGTGCTTATAATAACGCAGCCGGAGCGGAGCGCAGCGCTCCTTATGTGATCAAGATTGGACGTTTTATTGCTTTGGCGCTTCCCGCGTGCAAAGCTCGCGCTGTCAGCGCTCTTCTCTGAGCTCTCACTTAACATTCTGACTCATATTTCCAGTGATTTATGCGTTACAACTACAAGCCGGGTCTCAACGTTTAATAAAGTGCTTCTAAAAACCTGTTGAAATGATGGGGATTTTCCAATAGGCCAGACCCCCCCTTCTTTTATTTTTTTTCCCTTCAACGATTGATTTTTTTTTTCTTTTTCCTCTTTTCTTAATTTTCTTTCTACTTTTCTTTCTATCTTGGGAATTCTCCGTGGTTTTCCCAGAAAAAAAAAGAAAGAACTTCTTATAGGGGTCGGCAGACGTGACTTTGAACTTGGATCAGCTCCTGCGTTTCCTGTGGTGCGGGTTGAAATAGACTTGGGAGAATGGCGCACACTCAGCGGCCCAGTCTCCCCCCCTCTCCATAAGTTGAAGCACACAATTTTAAAGAAAAAAAAAAGTTTTTCAAAAAGCCTTTCCCCAA